ATAAATAATTCCTTTAAAAAGCTTGCTCCTTACCTTCTTTCCCAGGGGATGATGATGATGAAGATGGTACTTTCAGATTAATCTCAAGTGAATCTGAACTCGTAGAATCATTCAGAGAAACCACTTTGTCTGAAATCACCGACTGTTTTTTATTCTGTTGGGATGGTCTTGCTTGGTTGTTTATAGCTGCCTTCACCTTGCTGTTCTGGTCCCCTGATGACGATTTTGATGAAAAACTATGAAGTTCAACACCAACTGTGCTATGAGTGCATTCAGCAGAGTCATATTCAGATTCTGACATGACCAGAGAACTAAGAGATGAAAGGGAGGAGCTTAACTTGGGCTCATATCTTCCATCACTGAATTCTGGCCTGCTGCCCCTGTCTGCCAGTGGTTGTAGTGGTGGTGGTGTGCCCTGATAAGCTAGTGAGCTTGTTTCACTGACAGAAGTACAACTAGAGAAGGGACGTACATATGGATGAATATTATTTTGCATCACATTTGGTGATAGAGGGGGCATAAAGGCTGGCGGACCTTGAAAAAAGTTAGGGAAATTCTGAGGATTGTTTGAAGGCACATTTGGAGGGGCAGTCAGAGTCAGAGGCATGACTGGAGAGTGGTAGGGCACTGGTATAGTATTTGCAGGCAGGCCCTGAATATTCATTCCAAATCTTGGTTGTTGGTGTAGTCCCAAGTTTTGGGGCTGAAAGTAAACAAAGTAGCAAACATAGATCAAGAAAAGTAGGGAATTGAGAAATAATCATTGTTAAATAATCTATCCAATCAGTTAACATACCACAATATTAGCAGCCATTCCCACTGGGAATGGTTTAAACTTTTCCAGAGAGCACAGATCAAGATGGACAGAAAAAATTTCCAACAGGAACCTCTGAATACTAATAGACTCCCCTGTAGAAGGATTGCATAATGTTATCTTGCCACTAATGGTTGGAATTGATCCTGGCCGGGTTGAAATATTTTCAACAAATAGCATAGCATTCCCCAAAGCTTTGAGAAGCATATTACTTATGTGAGGTGGCCACTCAAATTGCTCAATACAGTCCTGACAACAGTTAAGAAAACCTATCTGTGAATGCAAAGGTTGTAACTTTAGTAATACACAAATTGTTTTGTACATTTACCATTCCAATATCACATCGTACTGCTTGACAAGCAAGAGCCATCATTTCTTTAGGAAGGAAACGTAATTGGTTTAGTGGCAATTGCACTATTTTTCCTTCATCAACATCTATCACAGAAACCATTTTCTGTTTTGACTTTTGGCTTTCTAATCTGAAAACACAAATGATTGTTCTTTATAGACAATTTATTTATAGACAATTAACAAAAGGATAAAAAAGAAAAAAAGCTAGCAAACTTTCACTTCTGTGTAATTGAATACATACATCACTTGTGAGGGACACACCCTACCTCGGATCATCCTCCCTCCATGGAGAGCAGTAACGTAAGTACCATTGGGGGGCAAAGTGGTCCCTTTGATAAGTTCAAGATCTCCATTTTGGTGAAGAAGCCTTTAAGATGAGGGAAAATAAACACATTAAAGTATACAATTTTACAATCGTGACAATGATGAGATATAAGAGACCGCGATAACATGCAACATGCATACAAAAGGTCCCTGCAGACTGAAGCGATTCCCTGTTTATCAACGTCCTGCATCCACAGGTACCACCGGGGATCGCACGATATTAGGGCCATTCGTCGGGCTCGTCCGCCAAGATCCGAGGGCCAAATGGGAACCTCATACTTGTGGGGCTCCATCTATGAGAAGAGAAAGTCAAAAAGGCACGGTTTAGTGTCATTCTAGAGTTAAAACCAGGAAGTGAGAGTTTGTTTAGTGGAAGAATTGACGACATAACCTACGATAAAGGTTGTCAGATGAGCAAAATTGGTAAGTGGCAGGTTGAATTGTTCTTATCTCTCCTACTAGAGAATGAAACTTCAAATTACTTATGTCATTTACTGTTATTCACATCCATAATAACAAATAAGGCACACGCTATGAACGACATAGGGGACCATTGTACTCAAGCAGAGCTGAAGCTGAACTCAAAGTTCTCTAACAGAGTGACAAGGAAAAAGTGTTAAATGGCGTTAAAAAGTTTGAAAATTTTCCCCGAAACAACAATGTGCATAGCTTAAATGTCGTCAAACGTACTACCTTTGGAAAGTGAAACTTTCTTACCATCCCATTTAACCAAGTTTCAAAACCACTGAGTCGGCTGAATGTGTAAATAGCGGTGCTACCAACTCACGAACCTCGTGGATATAAACAGATTACTTTAGAGTAAGCGTGAAAAAGGGAAATCCCATTCGATAAAATGCCAACATTTGAAACAGTAAAACCACAACAGAACGAAATCAAAACCCTTACGAGAAAAAAGACCGGTGTAACGGAGCACTGCTCGAAGGTGGCACACGGTTTGTGTTGCAGCCACTGTAGCTCGTCAGCCGGGAATTTCGAATTGTCACTCACAGGAGGATAGGGAATGCCAAAATCAAAGACCTGGCATTATGTTGGTAGAAATTATTGTAGGCAAAGAAGCTGTTTCCCCTATTCTGAAGTGTGAAGATAGACCGCAGGACCTCCTCCGAAATCAAGGGCAGGCATTTGATTGAAACGGATTATTCAGGCAGGCCGGGCCACTTACTCGAAACACGTCTCTTCATAACTTTGAAAAAAACAACAACAAAAAAACCAACAACCCCCTAAAACAGTTAACTATTTCGAGCTCCATACAGAACAGGTTAAAATGCTGGTATGCAACTGATATTTGAACCGTGGTAAAGATAAAGCGACCCCATCATTTTGTTCAAGACATTGTAGTCTCCCCGAGCAGCGCGCCGCCCAACAATCGCCATAGGGGCTCAAAGAGCCCCTCTATGGCCACGTCTAGTACGCCTGGCTGACTCGGCGTGCCGAGCGTGATGGAGCCTGATCTCACAAGCATGCGGCAAAACCGGAAGTTGATGAAGTCTGGGAGTGTGAGCCGCACCACCGCCGCGGGCGCCGGGCTCAAGAAGACGCGGCCGACGGGCGCCAGTGGCCTCGCGGGGGCGGCCGCGGCCGGCGGTGCCGGCGGCAGCAAGGGGTGGAAGTGCGTGTGCGGTGAAGGAGGTCAGGTGGGTCGCGGCCCTGGAGGCGCGGTGCAGCCGGCGGCGCCGGGGCTCGTCGCTGATCGCGGCCGCGGCCCGGCCAGGCAGGTCCTCTTCCCACAGGTGTGGAACGAGCTGCGCCTCAACCAGCAGCTCTGCGACGGCGCCATCCACTGCGCCGATGGCAAGGACCTCAAAGTGCACCGTGCCATCCTGAGCGCCGTGTCGCCCTACTTCAAGGCGCTCTTCACCAACAGCCTGAGCGACGGTCATGAGGCCTGCGAGGTGGGAAGGGTGGAGTCATACTCATGGATGTGGAATGCATTGGGGGGGGGGGGTACGGATAAGTCATACTCGCATGCGGGTGACAGGTGAACCTGGCGGAGGTCGGCGAGGAGGTGCTGCGGCCCATCCTGGACTACGCCTACACGGGGCAGTGCGGGGTGACGGCGGGGAATGTGGAGCGGCTGCTGCCCTTGGCTGACCGCCTGGGCGTCGTCGGGGTCGTGCAGCAGTGCTGCAACTTCCTGCTCACCGAGATGCAGCCCGAAAACTGCCTCGGCATCTACCGTTTCGCGCGCCAGTATTTCTGCCACGACCTGGAGGCAAGCGGGCGACGATACATTCTGCACCACTTTCGCAAGATTCTTCACAACAGGTGAGACAAAACCGACCGACGCATGCCAGACATTCCCCTGGAGGGGGGGGGGGGCGTCATAAGCACCCCGTCACCACCCTCGCACTGGCGCAGCACGGAGCTGTACGAACTGACCGCGGAGGAGCTGAGGCGTGTCCTCGCTGAGGACGAGCTGAACGTGCGTGGAGAGGAGATCGTCTTTGAGGCCATCCGCCGCTGGGTGGACAGGGACGTCCCGGGGCGCAGGCAGCACCTCCCCGAGCTGCTGGCGTGCGTCCGCTTGGGCCTCGTGTCCCTCCAGTTCCTCGCCGGCACCATGCTCGCCTACGCGCCCGCCCAGGACGATCAGGTAGCGTAAGTATACACGTCCTTCCAGTTCCACCGCGACGGAGCGCACAGCGGCCTGGGCCCGGTCAGACGCCTTCACGCACAGGCCACGCTGGAGACCCTGGAGCGGGCCAGGGAATTCCTCGAGGCGAACAAGGGACGGGACGTGGACCTGAGACACCCTCTCGCCAGACCCCGAGTGCCGTTCGAAATACTGTTCGCAATAGGGGGCTGGAGCGCTGGGAGCGCCACCAACTTCGTCGAGACTTACGACTGCAGGTGCTCGCTCTGCTTTCCCAACGGCGGTATCCCAGCCTTATTCGTTCACATGCTAAAAAGCTTCGCAATCGCGCGGCAGGGCCAACCGCTGGTGCCTCTCATCCATCACAGACTCCCACCCTCGCGCGTACCACGGGCTGGCCGAGCTGGACGGGCTCATCTATGTGATTGGGGGCTTCGACGGAGTGGAGCACTTCAACACAGTGCGCTCTTTCAACCCCGTCTCCAGGGAGTGGCGCGAGCAGGCCTGCATGTACCAAGCCAGGTGCTACGTCAGTGTCTGCACGCTAGGTGAGTTTTCACATTTTGTCATGAGACACTTTAGGCTTAGTTGCCAGGGAGCCAATCAGATTCTTTTGGAAACAGGTGGAGAAATCTATGCTTTCGGTGGATTTGATGGCAGAACACGATTAAATTCTGCTGAGATCTACAATCCGCAGAAGAATCAATGGCGCATAATTCCTTCCATGAACAGAGCCAGATCTGATGCCAGTGCAGCCACTTTTAATGGAAAGGTACCAATTTACTTCATTTCCTAGAGACT